AATGAGAAAACAGGCTCGGAGGAATTAAAGTATAGTACCTAAAATCATGCAGCGTGATCTCCAGGAAAATCACAGTTGAAATCTGAGTGTTTGGACTCTTAATCCAATGTGCTTACTGCTTACTATACTCCACTGCTTTTCTCATTTCTGCCTCAAGCACTAATCATCTTTTTGAATGATCACTGCAAAACATCTGTTATTTTAATACTTACCAGCAGGTTATCAACATTGTAAGAAATCCCTGGTAAGAACAGATCTACTGTGGTCTAGCAGCTAGAGTATATAATATAGTGTGTAAATATGTATACAGATAAGTGTATTTATATGTGTGTATTTTATATATAAACATATCTTTGTAGGATATGCTTGTTCAAAGAGTGATTTTAATTGATTTATCATAAAAAGCTTAATTTACATTGATGAACTATTTGAAGATATTCCCCAATCACTGAAAGGAGAGCAATCATCATCACCATAGTCCTGTTTTACATAACTCTATCCCATGTTTGTCCCTGGAAAATTTGAACATGTGTATACATTTATAGAATCTGTTGAGTTTTTTTTACGTTGGACAGTGAAGGATTATTGTGAAGAAAATATTTGATTGAAAAAAACTGCTGATTAATCTGTTCTTTCAACATGTCTTCCAACTAAGTTATTTTAAATGATTTTCCTTTTCAGACTATTTCCTAGTTATATAAGGGGTTCATTCATGTTTAACTTTGGCTAGGTGTATAATCATTCTAGCTGAACTTCATTAGAAGTTCCTGATTCACGTTGTATGCTCTTAAATAGAGTAGTTTTCAGGATAAAAATATCTTGTCTTTTCCTCCTGTGATCCATAGAAAGGCTCTGAGTACTTTCTAGGTATTTCTAATAACACTCTAGAGTCTAAGCGCTAAGTCAATAAAGTCAGGCATTAGAGCAGATGATTTAGATTCTAATGTTCTAGTGTTCCTTAAATAATAAATAATTTACATGAATATAGTCACTCCTCTCTCCCCATGGGGATTTCAACCTGAAGGGGAGAGGAAGAGATGACTAAATTTTCCCAGGACTGGGGAAATAATGTGCTTCAACCACTCCCCTACATCAGCTGAAGAACATGCATATGAGCACATCCTCCACTTAAGCCTGATCCTGAAGAGGCCTTGATTTTAGGCCACCATTTCTTTGCCAAAAAGCAAGTGAATCACTCTTTATAATTTGGTTGAAGCTCATCACAACAATCCCCTGGCTATTTTAAAACTTTGCACTCCAGATTATAAACCTTCTATCTTAAAGAAGAGTCACTTCACGTGCCACTCAGGGAATCCGTGGTCAGTGACAGTGAAAGACATACTTTTGGTCAAAGGAGTCTATCCCTTGTCACTGGCACTGTACTCAGCTGAGTGAGAATGTGGTTTGAGGATAATCATTAAACATACAGGGGTGGGCCCAAGTAGGTTTACAGTTGTGCGTAGGGGAAAGAGTTAATCATCAGAGCCTGCATGTCCTTTTCCACAGGAACAACACTCAGCCTACTTTTGCCCACCCCTGTATATCTGAATAGAAAAAACTAAGGAGATACATCAAGGTATTAACAGTGGGTTTATGTGGACAGTGGCATTCCATGGAATGTTTAACTTTTTTCATGTTTTTCTGAAATTTCCAAACTTATACTATAAGGATATATATTTTTTAATTTTTTATTTCTTAATAAACAACAGAATGTATTATATTGGTCTCATGCTTTCCCTAAAGCTTTTGTAATTTTTTTTTTTTAGAGTAGCATTAACAAATCAGTTTGGGAGAGCATGTGGGTAAACAACAATGACCACATTTATTTAAAGTGCGATTTCTCAGAGACATTTGCATGTTAAAATCTTCATGACGAATCTTCCAGAGGTTTACATAATGGGTAGAGTTTTCCATCAATGAAAACCTTTGGTTCCACTGGACACTCAGTATGAGCTGATGACAAATCAAAGAGTCTGAGCATGTGGCAAGGGAAATATATTAGAAGGGAAAGGAGAGAAGGCAGTTGTTACCTTCTTCTAATGATCTTATCCCTGGTTCGAGATGGTGTCCCAGATTTCATGTACAGGGTTCGAGGTGCTGTCTCAGATTTCATGTTCGGGGTTTGAGGTGGTGTCACAGATTTCATGTATGGGGTTCGAGGTGGTGTTCCAGATTTCATGTTCGGGGTTTGAGGTAGTGTCACAGATTTCATGTATGGGGTTCGAGGTGGTGTCCCAGATTTTGTGTTCAGGGTTCAAGGTGGTGTCTCAGATTTCATGTTCGGGGTTTGAGGTGGTGTCCCAGATTTCATGTTCAGGGTTCAAGGTGGTGTCCTAGATTTCATGTTTGGGGTGGGCTTCTTCCCCTCCTGATACCATCACTCACTCTCTTCATTTTGTAGTTGACTAGTCACTACAATCCCCACCTTCAGGTTGGGGCCTGGGACATTCTGCTACCTTAAGCTTGGGGTTTCTGAATATATTTGGAGGAGAAATGATAAACAGCAAAAATCAGAATGTCCTTAAGAGTAGCGGTATGATTACAGTGCCTGGAGAGGAGGTCATCTGAGAGACTCAAAGGCGAGGGCTCTCAGCCAGGTACATGCCCTGGAACATCACGGAGGAGAGTTCTGGGAAATCTCAGAGGGGGCTGGCTAGTAGAAAATGGGATGAAGCCCTGGAAGGTGGTGATCTGATATGGTAAATACACTTAGGGGCAGGGATGGATACAAGAATAGGGAATGGGCTTTTGAAATGTGCTATAGCCACTGATGTGACCTGCTCCCTATTTCTGCCTAATCCCTACAAAGCACAGTAACAACTGCGTCTAACAATAAATCTATGTAAATGTAACCATGTTTTATGTTCTGTTTGAATGGCACAGTAATCTTTAATAATAGGCTTCTTGGCCTTCATAATTTGTTGCTTATATAGCAGAGTAATCTACTAGAAAGCTAAAAACAGCAGAGGGAAACAGCACATATATTTGGCAAGTGGATATCTCACTTCTTCCGAGCACTTTATCATGCTAGATAAAACAGATTGGTTGCTCCGAACACATCTGGTAAGCCAATGTCCGTAAAGCTAGCTACCTTGGGGAAATACCGTACAGTGCAGAAAAGTTACCCTCCCTGTACTCAAGACAGAGGTAACGGTGATAAAGGAGTCCAGCAGAGCTGCCCCAAGCTGCCCAGCACATCCAAGTGCAGACAGGGATTCATGTATTTCCCAAAGGAGCATGCACTTAACGGTAGTTTCCTACTACAAATATAAAAATAAAAGAGTGGATATAATTTTAATGCCATAGATATCACTCAGATTTTTAAGATGTTCACCATCAATCTTATAGATTATAACCTGGAGAGAAATGAAAGTCAACCTGGGAAACAAATCACTGCTGGAAGGGACTTATAAGCATGGGAACCCATACAAGAGGCAAATGGTTAATACAACCGAGACTTATTGCTAACAGCTGTTCGTTTCTCTAAAGCAGGGGTGGGGACGTCCAGCCTCAGGGCCCACAAAATCATTTGGTCTGGCCTTGCCAAGGCAACCACAGGCGGGACTCAAAATTCGGTAAATCTAGGAGCTTATTCACAGCTAATTTTTAAGTTGATAATTTTGTAAGGCCCGTGAGTGATGTCCTAAATATCCAAATGGCCCTTGGCAGGAAAAAGGTTCCCCATCCCTGCTCTAAAGCTACATAGTTGGCGCAGAATGTTCAAACTGAGGTTGGAAGCGAGTTCTAAAAACACAACTCTATCTTCTGTCTCAAGCTATATCTTCTATTTTGAAGTTTTTAAAGGGTAAACCCCAGATAATCCTCAAGTGGCTCTTCTAGCATTTTGGAGCCAATAACACTGTTTGCAAAAACAAACAAACAAAAGCAATCCAAACACTACTGAATTGGTTATTGAAGGGACTACCTCTACCTCCAAATTATTTTATATTTTGCTATGCACATTATGTTTACAGTATAACATGACTTCTTGAGAGGAATTTCGTCTGGAAGTATTAACAGTTTACAAGTGAATTGCTGAGGGGTAAAATTGATATTCAAAAGAATTTATTATCACATATATTGGATCACTACTTTAATGTCCTATGCCAGAGATACCTGCCCCAATACATGAAATGAATTGCATAATACACTGGGCTGTTATTTCTCAGAGCTAAAGCTGAAAATTACAAAGTCATCTTTTTTCATTTTCACCTCTTGACAAATTGTTTCCTTTTATGAAAGAAACATTTTTCTATTTTATCTTTTTTTTTGGTGAGTGAATATATTTCCTTAAAAATGTCTGTGTTGAGTTGTTAGCAAAGTACAATAAATATGTTTTATTGGTTTATTATGCCTCAGAGATCAATACAATAAAATCACGTTGAACTTGAAAAGGAATCTATTAAATGAACTTTTCTTCACCTTAATATTTTCTTCTCAATCCTCAAAATTGACGATACTTACATGAGTTGTCAGGTTTTTCCAGGGACCAATTTGGGTAATTCAGTTATGATTTAGTGACAGAAAGCAATCATTTGTAAAACATACCCTTGAGTCCATAAAGAGTTAATAAAACTTGCTACCATACAGTATATACTTCCCAGGAGTAGTCTAAATACCTGCAGGATCTGGAGAGCTATGAAAGAGCACAGACGCTTAAACTGTGCCCATATGCTAACACATTTTTATTACAATGCAAAATGGCTTTGGTATCATTTAGGAAAGTGTGTCCGTTCTTGAAGAATTCATTAAGCAGTAGCTGACTTCTCCATAACATTTCTACCTCCCAAAGTAGCATATTTAGGCTTTGTTCTCCATTGAAAAATATTAAGTGTGAAATTTCATGTGTAAGCAGTAAATTATCAGGACTACACAGTGGACCAATTTTAGAAGTAGCTAATCAAAGCCAATAAATTTCCCATTTGGGGTAAGTGTGCAGTGGTGAGATCTAATAAGGGCTGTTGATAGACATTCACTGTCCCAATTTTCTGCTTCATCAGAGCGTGTAACTGAAGTGAAGACTGACATCTTCGTCACCAGTTTCGGACCCGTTTCAGACCATGATATGGTGAGTGACACTGCATTTTTGGTTTTCCTGGGGTATTTTCTAAATTTACTTTTGAAAGAAAAATATAAACTAAGTATTTAGGGAAAGACTTGAAATAGCTTGGCTATATCTTTGTGTCTCTGTGTGTGTATAATATGTAATATACTATAATATTTACACAATATTTATACAATAGAAAATACCCAGTTATTTCCCAGACCAACACTATTTATGGTGATCAGTCACCATAGTCTTCTTTCTTCCTAGACCTGAAATGATTGCTTTGCCTAGGTTTATGTTCTGTAAGCCAAATAGTGTGAGTGCGAGTTATCTTCCATTTCAGTTAAGGAAGACATGTGGACTCAAGGATGCTAGGTTTCTGCGTAGCCAGAACTATTACGGAATAGCCATAAATAGTGTGATTTCTGAATTATTTTTGGCTAAAAAGGGGAAATGAGTATAAAATCTGAATGAATACTTGAGAAATAGTTAAAATATACCTGTAAGAAATAGCTTCACTACAAAAGGCTTTTATTAAATTATTACCAAGAGCGTGAATAAAACTGGTACATACCTGTTCTTTCTTTTCCCAGCCCACATGATTAACATGAATCTCTCTTCCCTCTGACGGGAACCGGTGCACCAGGAGAGCTCTGCAGGAATTATATAATATTTCCAAAGTCATAACAGCCGAGCTCCTATATAAGAAAAAAAACACAGAGAGGTCATGAAGATACACCATTATCAATATTTCAAAGATATGTTAATTGAATATTTTTAAAATGCCATTTTGTTGACACCATCTTAATATAAAAGTCCTCTGATTTCAGAGTAGCTCAGGTGATTCAGAATAAAAGTTATAGACCAGCATTTCCCGAAGTGTGAAATTTACAGGGCACCCACTCGGGCAGGGTGAAAGCCTCTGAAAAGTCCTGAGGTAAGGAAACCTGTTTTAACTTCCTATAATCTAGTGTTTCTAATTGTATTTGCCCAAAATGCTTTTTCTTCATGCAACACTTGTTGACATTCTGTAGGACGAATGTTCTGTGAGTCAAACACTGGGAAATGCTGGCTCAGGAAAATGAGATACTTTATAGATATTAAAACAAGTTATGAAATGTACCAACTACGCAAATTAGGGTGAGCGGAGCACATGAGGGACAGCAGAGTGGTGGGTAATGACACAGATTTCTGAACTAGAATGTCTGGGTTTATGGTCCCACCTCCTCCATTTATAAGGATGTTCCCTTGGGTAATATCTTTCTGCCTCAGTTTCTTCACGTGTAAAATGAAAGTAATAATAATACCTCATGGGGTTATCACAAATATTAAGTCAATTAATACACGAAAAGCACTTAAAAATTCTTGGCATATAATAAGCACTCAGCAAATGTCAACCATTATTACTCTGGGAGAAACAGAAATATAAAAGTTAGCCACAATTATGGATTTATTCCCCTGGCAACACATTTTGTCACTGTGGTCAGTCTGTAGGCCACTTTATTGACTTGCTGTGTTGATACAGTATCTGTTGCTACAGTGATTGCTCTCTGGGGGCCTACTGTGGTCTCCCAGGTGGGAACTCAGTCTTCCCACACCACCATTCTCTCACAACCCCTGTCCAATTAAGAGCATTTCAAAGATCCTAATCAGGCTTAAGGTCCTATTTAAACTCCTCTGCCTGTGTTGCATACAATCCATAAATGACTTTACCAAATTTTTCTCACATGTTCTTGGCATTGACTACTTAATTTAATAGTCTGTGTAAGTGAAACACACACCACGTGGGGGTTAGCAGGTCTGGCTCTAGGATTCAGGCTGACTGGAAGCAAATCTCCCCACTACCAGGGGCATGACCTTGGGCAAATCACTTAAGCTTGTTTGTAATGGGTATATTGTTATAATTAACCTATCCTTATAAGATTGTTAGGAAATTTAAATGAGGTATATAACTAAAATGTCTATCAATAGTGTTCAATAAATAATAGCTATTATTTTTGCCTCTGAATTCCTTACATACCCTTCATGGAAATTTCCTCTGTTCTGCAGCCATCTAAATCCTACATTTCCACAAAGGCCCAAATCAAGACAAAATGCTTTATGAAAACATTTTTTAATTAATCCAGTATCAAATGAAATTTCTTTCCAGCATTCTAATCACATTTATTGACTGTAAAATACAATTTGGCCTCACATATAGCACTCCTTTGTGAAGTTATTTTTCTTATATAAATGTCTTATTTTCCTAAAGTGATGCCAAAAAGTATTAAAAACACACTTGTTTCACATCCCTCACAGTATCAGCACACTGCTGGCTTACAGTGAATGCTGAATTAATACTTAATTGGTGATACATTTAAGAGTCTCTATTATCTTTAAAAATTAAGGTCTCAAGGAACTCAATAAGTAACACCCCTTTTCCAACCTGAGTTCTGAACCTTTTGAGAAATAAGAGTAAAGAATATGGAATATGACGAAATCACCTTATCACTAGTAATGATGATATCGTAGAAGGTGTCTTGTATCTGCAGAAAAGTGGGTTTTCAGAAAGTAAACATCTGGATCAGCCCGATTAACCCACCCAGTCAGCAGGCAGTGCTGGCCTCCCTCAGCTAGGGTGTAGACTGTCCACGTAAACCTTCTAGCATAGAGGAACACAGAAAAATGTGAGTGTCTTAGGAACAGCCAGCATACAAAATGGAAATGACAAGAGGAAGAGCCTGAGACAGGCAAGGTCGATCTCGCCTTCCAAATTCACCCATCAAATTAAATTACTTCCCCCTGCTCCCCTCCCCAAGTAGAAGAGCATAAGGGAATGGAGAGCGTTCAGACGCTTTATACCGGTGACGCTCTCTTCTAATCAATGGAAACATCAAGAGAGGAGAGGAAACACTAAAGACATCACACTCGGATATTTATATTACTCCTAATAATAATAATCATAATAAATAAAAATAAACAGCTACTCTGTCTCCGGCACCCAGCATGATACCTCATAGACAGTAGATGCCCAAGAGGAGTTGTAAAGGGACGGGGCATGAATAAAGCCCTTGGCGATCAAAAACTTTTCTCTTTAAAAATATTGGACATACCCTTGAGTTACTTACTGCTCCAGATTAACTACGATTTAAGGAACAAATGAGATATATTTTTGGTCTTAGAGTAGAGGTACACAGTAGGATTTCTGATATACCATCAACCCTATGATTATCATGAATTGCTTTTCAGACATTACCTTTGGTCAAATATCAGACAGCAAGAGGGGGCGGAGTGTCTAAGCCACTGAGATTCCCTATAGCCTAAAACTCTGGAACCAGGCAATATTCAAATCATTCTGTAATCGAACTAGCCATAGGTGTGCACTGATTTGCTAAGTGGCCAGTGGAACTCGTCCCTGCCCATTCTGAGAAGATTAATCATGTGAACCACATTAGAGAAGAATTATGCATGAGATAGAGCAGTATGATTTAGAAGCTATCAAAATCAGAAGGCAGAATGACAAGGCTATTTTTTAAGACAGGAAAAGCTTTGTCGTTTTTAAAGTGGGAATTAACAAAATATCTAATTAATGAACATTCAACATTATTATTACTTTTTAAAATATATCTTTATTGATTCAGAGAGAGGAAAGGAGAAGGAGAGAGAAACAGTGATGAGAGAGTCATTGATCGGCTGCCTCCTGCACACCCCTGACTGGGGATCGAGCCCACAACCCGGGCATGTGCCCTGACCGGGAATCGAACCCTGATCGCCTGGATCCTAGATCGACGCTCAACTGCTGAGCCACGCCCAGCCGGGCTATTACTGAAGTACTTACAATATGGTACGCACCATGCTAAGGGTTTTGTGGACCATACTCCATCAGGTCCTCATACCAAATATTTTAGCTAAGCACTCTTATTATCCACACTTTCTCAAGGCGGGAAGCCACCCAGCCAGGCAGCAACTTGAACTCAGACGGTCTCTAGAGACTCCACAGCCCCCTAAGCATCTGACTTCAACCGGAATAGAAAACAAAATTAAGACAACTCCTAACTTTGTTTTAAAAATCATTAATTAGCAATCAAACAGCACATTCCCAGGGCACTAGGTTCCGACAGAAATATCCAGGCAGCGCAGTCTCTGAGCCCTGTTTTCCACAGCGCTCAAGATGCAGTGAGTCCAAGCACACACACATGGTGATAAACGGTGCAAGTGGGGACACCTCATTACAATACTTATTTAGGAGCATAGCACCTTTTGTCCCAGTCTTCAGAATAGGCCTCCCGATTATGAGGGGCCTGCTCTGGGCACAGGGCAGCCTGGAGAGGCTTCTCACGTGCATGGAGGGGGCTGGAGCGGAACCCTGACCAAATTCTTCACCACAGCTTCCGTTTATTCGGACACCCTCTGTGGGGTCCTGTGCTGCGCCCGTCTTTACTGTGCTTGGCTGTGATCAGCTCCTCGCTTCCCCTCAGGTCTTCTGTCCTACCACCGGTACAAGCTACGTAAAAATCCATGATAAATGGGTGTTCCTAAAAGGATAATAGGAGACACAGAATAACTTCTAAAGTTGACTGAGAGCTTCCTACATTCCAGACACTCTGGCAAGCTGTTTACTTATATTACCTCACTTCTCAAAGTAGGCACGAGAAGTCAGTGCTGCCATCATCCCCACCTGATCGATTAGGAAGCCGAGGTCTAGAGAAGGTAAGACTGACCCGAGGCCACCAGCAGGCACCGGCAATTCAGCTCCAGTCAGCAGGCTTAGCATTTACATCCGTAACCATCGCGCCTTGGCTCAGCCCTCTCCTCCCTCTCGCTCCAGAGGAAGGGGCTCGGGCCCATCCTGGTCTAAGGAGCTGTTCCCGCGGGGCAAGGACAGGCTCTACACGTGGCTGCCGGGAGCCACCTGCTGCTGCCCTGGCACTGTCGCAGGGGCAGTTCTCAGAACATGGGACACCGATGTTTACACTCGGGAGGAGGCAGGGGCTGATCGTTAGCCACTCCTTTTATTTCAGTTTTCATTTCCACTTCTAACAGAGGGGAAAATGGAAATGCAAACTTACCTGGTTAGATTTGCTCCGTGTGTGTGTGTGCACGTGCACACATTTGTGTGACCAGTGCAGTATTTCAAAAGAGAATATGTTAAATGAACTTGGGGATTTCATTGTCTGCTATTAGCACAGGAGAGTGAAGCCGGCAGTAAAAACATGACATTCATGTAAATGTCAGAATTTTTTCAACTTTTGACATGTTTTTGAAATCACTGACTTTGGTATATATTTTGTCAAAGATTTGATAATAAATATATTTTAAGTTTATTCTGCATGATCATTTATTTTCAAAAATATCCTTGGAGCAAGCAAACAAATGAACCCAATATTCAGATTCATGGGAACTCGGTCAGCTTAGACATCCTCGGAACTCTGACTTACAAGCAGCCGTTCTCTCCTGTTGACCCGGCTCAAGTAGTTCAGCTGGACAGAGAAGAGAGCATATGGGGCTGATCCTGCGTAATGGAAGTATCATTATCATATTCCTATCTCATAAACTGGCCTGTTGTCCAGAGAAGATAACATGCACAGCCCACAGTAAGTCCATCCACTCGACCTCCCTGCCAAGCACTGCTACCCTGTATCACTTCCTGAGGGAATCGCAGGCTCCCTCCCCATTTCTCTCCTCACAGAAAAAAACCTTTCCATGCCCATCCAACTCCCCTAAGGGTTTTCAAGCATCCAAATCAAACCATTTCTCCCTCTGCTGAATTTAACAGATGCTTAAACAAATGTTTCTTGGTGAGTAAATTCCTACCCCATGTATCTCAGTGCCTTCATCTGACACTGCCAGACACAGAAAAACAAGGTAACTTCTCTTGCCTACAGAGATAGTCTGGCATCAGGTGACACTGTTTTGTTTCTATCAGAATTTCACACTATGCTTAGTGCATTATAAACTATCCAATAATTTGATCAGTAAGGGCTCAGCAATACCAAATGTGTGCCAGGAGGATGACCCTTCATTGAGTCTTTACTCAGTCCTGCTTAAAGTCTGAGAAAGAGACAGGTAGTTAAATTCATGCACAAAATGCCTAGACACATACGTTATTTATTTTGCATGTCCAAAAGTTGGTATGTATAAGATTTTAAAAAACAACCACCACCACAGCTTTCTGATGCATCAGGGTTTAGGGGAATTAAGAAAATGTAGCGTGACGATTTCAAGTAAGTCTTCCTTCTCGTTCGGAGCATGCTAAGATTACTGAAGAATGCAGAAATCTTTATTTCAGACCACTGGGTTCCAGATTTAGTGTCAGTGTAGCAAATCCTGCCAGGAAGGTGGCTGTTACCCTGTTCATGTTTAGGAGCTGGTCAGTCACATTGCTTATTTTCAGATTAGCAGATGTTTGTCTCTGGGTACTGCCGTAAGGAAGGCTGTGTTTATTCAAATAAACAGAGTCCCTGGCTGTGAATGACGATGAGCTTCACACATTTCTCCCGTGCACTGTACACACACGCTCACAAGGGCACACTCACACACACCTGCATATTCTATATTCTTTGGGGTTTTTTTGAAAAAGATCCAAATTACCAGGGAAACAGATTCCTTATTTTCATATTCATCTTCATTGCATAGAGTTGAAAGTCTATATATATTATCTATGATAAAAAATGTTTAATTTTGCCAAAAAGTAGATAGGACTGTCACACCCACATGGGAACCATGGATGACTTGGGATTGAGTGTAAGGTTTTCAGAGACCATGACACTATGCTTTATCTTAATAATTGGAATTGTCTCAATAAAAAAGGTTCTTATATGTAAGAACCTCTAAGATGACTTTCGTTTTTATCTGTAAGATATTCTATCTTTTCAAGTGCTAGTGTAGTGGAGGTGGGGTGGGCGTAGGGTGTTATTTTCCTTTCACTTATCTGAGGAGATAATCATCAGAATTTTTCAGACCAAGAAATATTTCAGGCATTTAAGATATTTCAGAAAATGATTATGCCAACCAGTGATTCACCTGACATCAATATGCACAGGCCACCATGAGTTTACTTCTAGAAACATCACTGAGCTCACATTTTGCTTCTAAAGTTGCAGAAATTATGCATTGTCTGTGCAAGCTATTTGCATTGCAAAATACAGCACAGTAAACTCTCTGCCATTTTCCATAATTACCTAGGAATACACAATCGATGTATTTTTCCGTCAAAGCTGGAAGGACGAAAGGTTAAAATTTAAAGGACCAATGACAGTTCTCCGGTTAAATAACCTAATGGCAAGTAAGATCTGGACTCCGGACACCTTTTTTCACAATGGAAAGAAGTCAGTGGCACATAACATGACCATGCCCAACAAACTCCTGAGGATCACAGAGGATGGCACCTTGCTGTACACCATGAGGTAAGGATTGTTTCTGCGGGGGACTCTTTCTGCCCTTCTCTCTCTCCCACCGGTGGGCAGCCATCAAGCTAACGGGCCATGGTAGGGCCCCCCCGTTTCCTTTTTTCCTTATCGTTCAACTTCAATAATTACTCTACTATGAAAAATAAGCTAGCAAAAACATTACATAAGTGAGTGTCAGAGTGATTGGATAAAATGAAAAAAGTGCTTACAATAATGTATATTAAGAAATTCAATATATTTCTCCCACATGCCCTAATGCGATATGAGGAACTTCATTTCCCTACAGTTAACCTCATATATTCCTGCCTTGCAGGAAGGTCTAGATTAAATTTCTAAAAGCAATCTCAAGGTGTACACCTGAAAATGTTTCTAATTAAAAGGAAGGGAATAAACAAGGGAAATTTCAACACTCTTAAAAATGACAGATTCATGTGGAAATACACATTCTGAAGAGGTATATGAATTCACAAGGATATTGTTAGTTCGATTGAGAATATAGATATTTTAAATTTTACTTAAATTGAAGATTATTATATATTTATGCTTTAAAAACATTTCCCACAATTTGAGATTACCAGAAAGCCTAGCACTTAGATACCAATCACTTGTTTATGGCTGAATGAAGGAAACAGGACTCAAATAAAATTTTAAATATTTTTAAAACTAATAAAGAGCTATTTAAAAATATTTATAATTTATGAGAAATTAAGAATTGTTCAAGACTCATTCTTAAGGGAAGCAATTATTTCATACCCAGTTGACTTGTTAAAATGTTATTTTTATAGACCTGGCCAGCACTTGGCAATTCAGACCATCCAATTATTCCTTTGCTATGAAAAAGTAATGAAGGCAAAATCCTAGACTTGGTGAATTCTGTTTAGCATGGGAATAGAGTAATATTTTGTCTTTGAAGAAAGCTCCCAGAATTCCTAGTTTCTTATACTTAAATATCCTAATGAAAAAGACAGAAAAATATGCTTCAAGAACCACTATAGATGTTGGACTCAACAAGTAAAATTGTAAAAGGACTTAAAAAATGAAAAATCCAAAAAAGAGAGAGAAAATAGAGCATCACTAGACAGGTGTATTAAGACCTTTCTAGATCATCCAAGCAGGATCTGTTGATATTTGAAATTTCAAATATTCTATCTTATAAAATACCCTACACTTGTTTTTGGTCCTAAGTCGAGCTTCATCCCTCCCAGCTGCTGACTTTCTGGGTAGAGATTTGCATGTACTGAAAAGTTTACCAAGTAATGGTTTCTAATGTATGCAATATCCTTCATAAAAAATTAGCCTGTATCTCCCATCTCCCAAAGTTCTCACCACTTTTGCTAACGTGAACACTTTCCTTAACAGTTTAACTTAAGAATGCAAGTTTAATCATTAATTTACACATTTTATATTTGCTTTTATCAGTATTATAATCATTTAATTATTTCATGGCTATAAAACCATCCTACCACATTTCTTGAGCTACTTAGTAATATTGTTATCGGTGGAAATGGGGTTCTTAGGGTACCACTGGAATAAGAATTTCCAGAGGCCCCATGGGAGGACGAGGTATTGTGGAAAGTTTTATTTCTATGAAATCAAACCCCTGAGTTTCCAAGGTCCCATTTCCCTTTGTTCCCCCAAGGAAGAAGTGTAGCCATGGCTTTAGCAGAGCTAGAATCAGAGTCAGTGTACAGAATTTTGTCAGAATATTGGAGCAGTATCCAGTCCAACAGGCTAGCTTAGTTTGTATTCCCAGTTGCAGTCCATCAGCCCAATGCATGTGGGTCTACAGGGCCACATGGCTACGGAGGAAACACAAGCAAATGCAGGAGAGCCAAGAGAACGAACTCCTTTGTTTGGGGGATTATGTATCCCCAAATTTTCAAAGACTTGCAATGGCCCTACCTACTCTAGCCAATGATCTCTGTTCCCAGTTTTGACTGGCAGGCATCTTCCCTATATCATCCAGACTTTACTGCATCTGCATCTACCTCCCCTTTGTTGGACCCCTTCCCCCAGTGACCTGTAGGGAATGGGCCAGTGGTTCCCTGGGGAGTGTGAAATTGCAGCTTCCTGGTGAAGCTGCCCAGATGGCAATGCCTATAATGTCTGGCCTTCCTTTTGCTCCTGTCCTATTTTTAAAACTAGCTAATTACAATGGTATCATATGGATATATTTTCTAAAGATCATGTGAGGAATTGGGGCATGAATTCCCTCATAATTCCACCAAAAGAGAGTAATTATATATTTCAGTGAATTCCTTTCCTAAGTACTCTTTTTAAAGTGTGAATATAATTCACATTCCCAGAAGACAGGGACTAAAGGGCTTCAATTAGGCAATGCATTTGTAAATAAACCTAAATGGTTGTGATATGGTAAGATCACATATTCACTCTCAAGGACACTTACATTAATCTCAATTACACAAAGCCTGAGTTCACAGTTCCTGCTTCACCTATTCCTTTGTTTTCTGCATTTGGTGCTATTTTAGGGAAGGAGGTAGTGAGAGCTGTACTTAGGAAAGGAGAAATTATCTTCTTTTCCTTTCTATTCATGTCTTCTTCTCAACCAAGGACGAATTAATGTTTTTGTAAGTATTTATTTGCTTACATCCAGTCTTATCCTCAAAGGACTTGCTGTAGCTGGGTGGATTAGCTGATGATACTTGTTTTGGAAAACATTAGCAGTGCTTCTTGCCCATCATACGGAATCAGGTGTCATAGTAAATCATTTGATTGCTAACAGCTCAATATAGTGCTACAGTTTGTGCCTCTTGCTTTGTTAATATATTTGCTATAGTAGATAATATCAGAATCATATGTACCAGGAAGTATCTAATCTATAGGGCTCTTCTTTGTGTCCCATATTTTCCTTAAATGATAAGGCTGACAGTGAGAGCTGAATGTCCGATGCATTTGGAGGATTTCCCTATGGATGCCCATGCCTGCCCACTAAAATTTGGAAGCTGTGAGTAAATTTATTTTAATTTTTTAAATTTTTAATGAGAGGCCTAAGTCTTTAAGCAAGAGATCGCCAATTAGTTATGTCTGTTAGACAGATAAAGAGCATGAAGAAAGTTTAAATAGTGGTTTGCTGCAAGTGCTTCCTACAAGTAATGATCTTTGACTTCACATTTTAATGTTATATTAGGAAAGGGTTACTCCCTACCTTCTGGACTAGAAAGAATGGATTTAACTATTTAGAGGAAAAATTCTATTTTTGTTGAAGTTGTATTCATAGAAAACAACTGGAGTATGGATGCTTACACCTCATAGATAACATTTTCTTTCCCATAAATGGAGATGATTGTGTCTATTTTTCCATCATTACTGACATTTGTTTGACCTTAAGAATAAATCAGCTTCTCAAATGGAAATATTGATAGTTGGCAAATGACGGTAATTAGCTGTTTCTTAATAATTAAGCTTACACCTAAAAGATATAGCCAGGAAAGAATTTACCCTCATCAGAGTCTTAGGAATATTATAGATTCATTTTCATATCACATGAAATTCATGTATTCATTAACGCTTTTGAAGGTCTCTTAGATAAGTCCCTTTCATAATCACTTTCTGGGTTCTGCTGCTAAAGATGAGGGCATACATTAGAGGAGCCTTCAAGAGAAGGGATGCCAGCAGAGTCAGGTTCTCCAGTTTTCCTCTACCCTTCTGCTTCTGACCAGTGTGCATGCAGACAGTGTGTGGGAAGAATATATTCCTGGTTCCCTGCAGGGGAGGCACACACAAGGACTGAGTCAACTCCTGGGCTACCTAACCAGCTTTCTGCTCTCTCTAGACAGGCAGTCTAAGCAACTATTTCGGTGAGGGTAGATGATTCATAGTAAAAAATCGTGGTAGTGTAGGAAGACAACAAAAAAAATAGCAGAGGCCCTTCAGGCTCCCAGCAGCACTAGACGTGGAGAGACAAATGTCTCTCAATGCTTAGATCTCATTCTGTAATGAAACCCAACAATATCCTGCTTCAAAAGCTGTCAACTAAATAGATCTTTGGTGATAAAGCCCTCCTCCCCATTCTTTCCCTATTTTAATGAATGTTTGATGTCATGGACTATTGTGCTTTCTCCTGATTGCCAGTTTCATCTTTAACAATGATATCATGTGCTATGTGTTAGTTGTATGCCAGGCGGTACAGTAAGCATTTTTATATGCCTAAGCTTAACTAACCCACAAATTAGCCTTATAGGCAGCGATATCATACATCATAGTTTGCCTGGGACAGTACTGATTTATGCCTAATATCCTGATATAACTATTAATAGTGCCCCCCCTTTTTTAAATCCTCACCTGAAGATATTTTTTCCACTGCTTTCCAGAGAGAGTGGAAGGAAGGGGGGGATGAGAGAGAGAAAAACGTCGATGTGAGAGAGACACAACGATTGGCAGCCTCCCACACACACCCTGACCTGTGCCAGGGATCGAGTGAGCAACCGAGGTACACGTCCTTGGCTGGAACCCAACCCTGGACCCTTCAGTCCGAGGGATGATGCTCTAACCACTGAGCAAACCGGCTAGGGCGACAGCATCCCTTTTCTCACAATGTATTATTTTAGATAATAAACTACATGTTTAGTATATTAGGAATGCTTTCAAGCAGTGGGTATAGTTGACAAAAAGCAGGGTTTATATTTTTATATTAGATACATGATGGTAAGTGACGGATGATTGCTGATTAGTTCAGCATCTTACAAGGATGGTATCTCAAGATACCCTTGGATGTCCTGTCTGATCACAAAATGGCTGCTACAGCTCCAGCCACTGCATCTGCTCTCAAGATAGAGAGAAACAGTGAGCACAGGGGAAGGTAGTGGTGCCTGCATCGAAAAGATAAAGGCTTTCCCTAATATCCTAACAGACATCTCACATCTCATTGATAGAGCCGTGTCAGCTTGCCAATGCTACCTGCAAAGGAGGCTGGGAAGAAATGTTTTTAACTAGGCATATTGTCATCCTGGAGAAAACTCAAGTATTTTAGGAGGGATGAAATGAATAGTGAGTAGAAAGCAGACAGTGTCTCATGTAAGAACACTGAAGGTAAACAATCAGTCATCTGTTTTCCACCTCAGGCCCTTGAAGGTGCTCTTTTCTCTCTGCCTGCACCACTCTTCCCTTGTTTCTTAGCACGCTGGCTTTTTAAATTTTTCTTTGTCCACATCTGAGCATAAATATCACCTCCTAGAGGCTTCCCTGATGACCTCATCAAAGTTTGCATTGGTCTTCTTGGTCACCATACACATTTATTTTACACTATTTAACACTGAAGTAATTACTAGTTTTAGTTATCGGTTAAGATTTTTCTTGTTTGGAGACCTGGGAACTCCATGGGAACAGGATCTGTTTTGCTCAGCATTTCCTAGCACAGAGCCTAATAACATGCAGGCACTCCATAAATATTCGCTGAGTGATAAAGATTCCAATAATCAGGTTTTAAATGCCCTTTCAGAGTTTAAGTCTCAGAACAGATGACCTCAGAAAAGAGGGTTCAAGACTGTGGGGAATTAAGCAGACACGATGTGACAGTGAGCAGCAGACTCAGACGGCACACACTCAGTGGGACAGAGCACCGTGACTAGTGAGCATTGCCTGCCATGGGCATGAGAAGACGCAGGGGTGGTGCATGTATTGTACAGTCATTTCCCTGACCTTGCCTAAAGAGCACATTTTGGAGAGGAAGAAACTGAGGCGATAATGCCCTGAAAGTGCTCTGACCCAATTTTTTAAACAAACCTCTTGCCAACATAGCAGAGACCAGAATAAGAGGACTTCACAATAATTTAGTGGAATACTGTGTAATAAATGTTTATGAAGCATCTGAAGTAATTTCATCCATACATTGACAAGAACCAAGCTTGGGAAAGCTAGAAAATATGGAGCTGATAGAAGCAAAGTGGCCTGACACGTGGGCCATTTTCCATTCTCTCCTTTTAGATGCTTATACGAGAGCAGAAGTTGTTTATGAGTGGACCAGGGAGCCAGCGCGCTCCGTGGTGGTAGCAGAAGATGGGTCACGCCTCAACCAGTATGATCTTCTTGGACAAACAGTAGACTCTGGAATTGTTCAGTCCAGCACAGGTAAGTAGCATTTGGTAACTCCAGATATGGAGGCGGGAGCATCAAGGATTTTTGTGAGAATGTGACATTTCAGAAAGTCCTTCAAAAAGCACAAGCAGAGAGGGAGAGAAAACAGCACGACACTGGGGGGTACAGTTGAGCTGAAAACTAGTGTGATGTTTATAGACCTGTGACCTTGGACTTGTCCTTTAATGCCCTTCACCCTATGTTTCTTTGTCTGCAAAATAAATAACTGGTTCTCAGTGATCAGTGTAGCACAGTATTTAGAGATGTGAATTCTTGAGGAAGGATGCCTGGCTTAAATCCTTACTCTTCTACCTGGAGGTCGTTTGTGGTCACCTCACAGGGCTGTTGGAAGGAAAAAACTATATCCATGAAAAATACATATCACGGCTTCTGGCACATAAAAATCTGTTAATAGGCCCTGGCTGGGTAACTTAGTTTTTTAGAGCATTGTCCCAATACGCCAAGGTTGTGGGTTCAATCCCTGGTCAGGGCACATAGAGGAAGCAAACAATGAATGCATAAGTACGTGGAACAACAAATTCGTTTCTTTCTCTCTCTCTCTCTAAAAATCAATCAATTTTTTTAAAAAAAGGCTCTTAGTAAATTTTAGCTATTAATATCACCTACGCCCCATTTATTGCCATGATTCAATGAATCTTGGTGAATTTGTAGCAGTGACCATTACACACAGGACACCAAAAAGCCAATTCCTTCTACAAATCCATTTGTATCTCTAGCCAAGAATTCTCCTCGGCTAAATCCTACAGAAACATAATCCCATTACTGATCACTCCAGTTTGAAATTAGTAGGTGGAGTGCCTTCCTTCTTAGAGTTATAACTACTTTACCAAATGAAATACTCAGAAGTAGATAAAATAATATTAAGCATCTGTATTCAAAACTTTAAACTTCTGAAGTTGTTTCAAAAAATATGGTTAAGAGTTTAATTATGCAAGTAGCCATTTTGTGACTAACTTATATGTGATCATAGGGCCAGATAATTATAAATAATATTTGGGTTCTAACAATTAGGAAAACTTAACCCCTCCAATCCCAATATTTTTAACTATGTTCAATTACTGAAAACTTAGCAATACTCAACAATTACTTTTATGGCTATTTTTACATTTTTTTAATTAGTTCCTTCATTTTGATTTGTAATTTCTAAAGAAAGACACTTTAGTAATATATAAAGGCAGGAGTGGTTTTTTTCCTCAGAAAACTTTCTTAGATTTCAGACTTTATATTGGGATCCTGATCATTCTAACATGTTTAAGTAATAGGTCAATATCTCTTACTGTGAATATAGGATAATCTCTGCTTAATAGAATCTGTATTTTGCTTAAAGTATCCATGGCTAGTCTAGAAGCTCAAGCATTTATGTTTCTTGTTTGCAAAATGGAGATTGTATCTCAGGTTTGAAAACATTAGAAATGCACATAGAAACAACTGAACATTTTTTTTAAATTAACAAATTAAAAAATGTATGTAGTAGAGTAGAAATGTCTTAGGCTTTGCAGTGAGAAGGGTGTGGACTCGATTCCTGACATGCCCCTTGGAAAAAGCCTTGTGACTTTGTAAAAGCCATTCATCCAATTAGAAACTCTGACCTCTTCTAGGAATTTTGCATTAAAGATGACATAATATAAAACATTGATCACAGTGTTACATGATAAATGCTCAAACTGGTATGTAGCACTTGTTGCCATAGTCCTGAAAATACCACAGAATGTGGAAAACACTGAAAATTTTTCTCCTCACAAGTTGTGTTGGAAAAGATATTAAAATGAGCGCTGTTGACTTATTAAAAATTGGATATTATTATATGCTCGATACTGTGGCAGGCACTAGGGAGTCAGTGATGGACAAGGCAGAGATCTTGCTCTCATGAAGTCTAAGGGAAGACAAACACATAAACTATAACTATCAAAAGGGTCAAAGCGCCATGATTAACATTTTTGTGAGGGCAGAGACCACATTTGTTTTCTGTGTACTTATTATTTACTACAGTAGCTGAAACAGAGGAAGCACTAAATAAAGAAAAACAAACGAATCTAGCCTAGGATAATCAAGGAAGGATTACTGCAGGTTTTGACTTTCATTTTATTAATCTGTATAGTTGGGAGCCAAACAATCACTCTTCTAGACCCAGGGCATTCAGAATAATAGACATGGAACTTTTCCTCGAGAAATTCCCCTCTATTATCATTAGAATGGTGGTTGAAGGATTTCGGGGAAATGGTAATTCAAGTGCAGTAGCACACATGCAATAGAAGATATACAAGCCGCAAATGTAACTCAGAAGGAGTGCCCTCGTTCTAGCTCCAGCCCCAGTGACTTTGACATGTCACTGTCTGCCTTTTCTATGCCCCGGTTCTCACGTCTGCAAAATGAGTGGCTTAGTCTGATGAACCTGGAGACTCGCTTCCTAAGGATTCAGCCTACCTACATTCTAGTGGCTCGGAAAAGATACACAGTCACAAACGGGCAATGGGTGAGAGACAGTGCCCCAGCTCACCAACCCCAAGCTGGGTGGACCTCGTAAGTTAGGTCCCTTAAAAGTCGTCATTCTGTGCTACCGCCGGCAAGTTTATCTGTACAAAATCAAGTTTTCCGTGTCATTCCAGAATGAATATTCGGGGGAGGGGTTTGAGGATGATAATGACCAGATCCTCAAGTGGGGGAGCTCAGTATGCTGCATGTTTCAGCGCCACAGTAAGACACTGAACTACACTTCCTCTGGGTCTACTCTCACTCATCAGAAATCCACCTTGATATCTTTCTGTGGGAAGAAACAAAGATCTTTGTTGAAATCCCATATTTCACATCTCCCTGTGGAGCCCTGAAAACATCAAGATAAATGACAGTTAGTGCGATTACCTCCATTTGTGCCAGGAGACTAGGAGTGACGGCAGGCAAGGGCACACACGTGGAGAATGATTAAATAAAGAGCCCTTCTTCCACCTTAAAATCTCGGTGGGGAGGGAGTCCATTCAGATCACCGCTTAGAAGGTTAGGTTAAAAGTGGTGGCCCCGCTTGCCTGCAGTCAATATTCATGTGGGCACACACTCACACGCACTACCCGCAACCTCCTGAGGGCCAAAACCCAAGTCTGTGACATAGGAGCTACATATAAGAGGCTCAGTCCAACACTTGGATTTTTTAATTCAGCAAAAACACATTAGAGGCACAATCCCTTCCCTGGAGTCTGCCATCAGATTTAGGGGGAAGAAAATGAGTTGGAGACTTTGTTAAACTTACTCAACTGGCAGAGCAAAACCTTTCAAGGCACACAGTTGGCTTTCAAATCCAGTACAATTCTCTGTCGTCCATTCATTTATTCACGTATCCCTTCCCTTATCTGCTCATTCACTACGCTTGGGCCTTGAGAAGAACATACAGTTCCTGTCCTCAAGCAGCTCATAGTTGAGTGATGTAGGCATTATAAGTATCCCCATTTTACAGATGGGACATAACTGAGGCCCACAGAGGCACAACAAGTTTTCCAGGATCACACAGCGAGTGGCAGAGGAATTGAACCTGGGGGGCTAGCTGCATACATGTGCTGTCAACTACATGACACACTGGTAACAGGCAAGACAGGCATGTGTGGAAATGTAACAACGTGATGAAGCACAGAGTTTAAGAGTGTGGACTCTGAGGTTGTACTCTGAGGGCTTAAATGCTGTTTTTACCCCTCAAAAGCTGTGTGACCTTTGGCATTTCTCTGTTTATCTTTTGCATTTTTTGGAGATAATTAGAGAATGTAATTCATGAGCTACTGTGAGACTGAAATGAAAAAAAATGCATGCAAACTGATTAGTCGAGTGTCTGACAGGTAAAAATTATACAATAAATAACAGCTATTACTATTAATGATGGAGTTAGTGCAAGAGAGCCACATGATGACATAAGAAAGGCCATTTCTGCTTGACTTACTGGGGAGGCAATGTGGAAGAGACGCCAGGCATTGCCTGGTCCCATTCTACTGTGACTATGCTTCCTAAGTAATTCTTTAAGGACAAACACCAACCCCTCCATCAACGCTATTTTTGATACCCCATGTAAAAATTATAACAGTGATTAAAGAACATAAAAATATGACCTATATAGATAAGTAAAATAATGAAGTTGCCATTAGTCATCAGAATAACTTCATGGTCAGAAGAGAATAAGAATGAAATAATATTTAATGCTTTTTTAAAAACACACAGCGACTGCAAAGTCTTCGTACTCACCTAAGTCAACAGACAGATAGGACCAAAGGAAATGTAGGTTAGTTTTGCTGAACAGAAATGTCTTTTCTTTTTGAGTGACTACTGTTTATCCTTAGAACATATGACCAAGAGAAACTGTGGGACCCTCTTTCCAAGAGACAGTCTCCTCTGGATGAGTTGATTTAAGGATAACCCTACGCAGTCAAAATAGATGAGGAACTGAGCTGTCTTCCCTGACCAGGGAGCAACAATGGTGATGAACATTCATCAGAGGAACCTCAGGGCTCCCACTCACATGACATCCAGAGAAATAATTATAACCATAAAATAGGAAAACTAGGGGCTGGGGAGGGGAGACTTCTATGCATGACATCCAGAGAAATAACTATAACCATAAAATAGGAAAACTAGGGGCTGGGGAGGGGAGACTTCTATAGTTATCTGGTCAACCTGTTAATATTTCAGATGAGAAGACAGGTCCAGAGAGGCTAAGTGGCCTAAAGCTATGACCATTGTTTCCTTATTTCTATTTCAGAACTTTTTGAAGCAGGTATTAAAATACCAACCACTCCATCAATGATATTTCATTCCTCTTAAAAAGGTAGCATTTACAGAAAAAAAGAACTTTAGACCATTTGGAAGGAAAACTATAAGCTGTGCATGGAATCAGCGCTCGCCACAGCTTCGCTGAGCAAGTGAATGGCTTCTCTCTCGAGCTGGAGAGGGCACGTGCCTACTCCTCCTGTCTTTACACTGTGACTCTGCATGTGACTCCCCACATATAAAAAGTACACTCACTTCTGTCACTTAGTTTCATCCTCACAGCATCCCAGGAATAATGAAGGGAAACACTATCATTTTAATTGAGCAAATGAGAAAAATAAAGTTAAAGAGGTCAAGCAAGGTATTTACCTTTCACGTAATGAACGTCTGAGAAAGCAAAGGAAGGAAGCCGGGCCTAAACGAATGCTTAAATCTGCTTTACAGAATTAAATCCCTGCTTCTTTCCTTCTACTCCCCTTAATTCTGTATTGTAATGTGTCAGGAATATTGCCACATCTAACTTACAAGCTTCCCTCAGGGCTACCTGATGTGCAAGAATATCTGAATTACAATTCTTCTAGGCTGCTGAGTTAAGAGGAAAAGAATTCGACATGCTTAGAGCATAAGCACTTGATGTCTAGACATATTCTTTTAATCCAATTTAGGAGACCAATTTTTCTGTTGTGTTTTTCCTTCACTTTAAAATTATGACAACATGATTTTGACTTTGCTGCCTTTCTCTCTCCTTACTCAAACATTTTGTGCCAAAGTTTAGGAAGATGATTTTAAAAGATTTGAAACTCTCCAATCTAATTTTCTAGTAAGGAAGTGGTTTATAAAACAAATATAATTTCAAATAATTGCTCTTCTGACCACCAAAGTCATAGTTTTTGAAGAATCTTCCAAAGAGTCACACTGTGAACAACAAAAGATGATAATGATATTACATGTAGACACTCATCTTTCTGACATTATATGAAAGGTGGAATTTTTTTTCTTTGTGCTGATGACATTTTACAGGCCCCAAATGAATGAATGGTTAAGAATAATAATACATACTCCTGGGAAGGTGAAATGTAACACAACTATGTCCATGCAAGGCTACATTTTAGCAGAGTCCTGACAAAATTAATTTTCTGCACTTTTCTCAAATGTGAAACACTTCTTTCAGATGACCTTGGAGACATCGCCCAAGGTATCTACAGAAAAGGAAAAGAAATTACAGGTGACCCTTGAATAGCACAGGGGTTAGGGCCATCGACCCTGCACTCAATTGAAAATCCACATATAACTTTGACTCCCCCAGAAACTTAACTACTAATAGCATACTGTTGACTGGAAGCCTTGCTGGTAACATAAACAGTCAGTGAACACATACTTTGTATATTACAGATATTATATACTGTATTCTTATAATAAAGTAAGCTAGAGAAAAGAAAATGTTATTAAGAGAATCACGAGAGAAAATACATTTACAGTATTTATTGAAAAATACCCACATATAAATGGACCTGCTCAGTTCAAACCCATTTTGTTCAAAGGTCAACTGTAGTTAATATTTTATTTACCCTTCAAAGAAGAGCCGCGTATGGGTGTCAATTGGAGTGAGAGCCCTTAAGCCTCAGTATACCCCTTTTCACCACATGCAGGTATTAAATACTTCAAAGGTGCAAGGTCACGCTCTATCCGAAGAACAGTCCCTCTTCTCAGTTAGCTTTCACTTTGGTGAAATTAAAAGTGAGAGATATTATTATAAATAAAAAAAGAAGCTACAAATAAATTTGCAGCTACTTAGTGTTGATCAGGGAATGGCAGATGCTATCATTAATAACAGTGCTGAAAGCATACATGAGGGTATGGATGATTTCCTACTACAGAGAGTAAATGCATTTCTTCTACCAATACTTCTACCAATTCCAGCTGGAAAGAAGAGAGCAAAAAAGGTCAAAGGAACTAACATTTATTTTAAAACTCTTCATTTTTTTCTCTCTTTCTTCTGTAAAACTCTTAGATAGCATGATCTTAAGCAGAGGTCTAATTCTTTATTATCCCCACAATATACTTCTCACTGTTTGATAGATGAGGAAACTCAGGATCAGAGAGTTTGCATTGCCCAAGGCCACACAGTAAGAAAATAGCACATCTGCATTTTGAAAACAAATTCATTTGCTTCCAAAGCTAACTCTCCTCTACAGCACATTTCTTCCTGTTCCACTATGGGCTGAGAACCCATAGATGAACAAAACAGTCACCAGTAGAAGATGTCAAGTAGACAGGTGGGTCCAGATACTGAGATATGAAAATGTATGGTGAGACACGAGACATGGTACCGAAATATACAGAGTTATGAGTCTTGAATACAGGTTAGGGAGTTTCCTTGTTAGTATCTAACACTGGAGACATTGTTGATTGTCACATTAGGGAGAGTTTGCTGATGGACAGAGGTCAGCCAGGTATGAGGCTAAATATCCTGCGATACACAGGACAGCGCACCCCCCCTCCCCCCACTGAAAAACAACAACAATTACCTGGTATGAAATATCAGTAGTGCTGAGGTTGGGAGACCCTGATGTAGATAAGGGGAATCCATTAAGGTATTTACATATGATTTGAAAAGATCACTCTGACATAAAAATTTAGGAAAAAGATGGAGTTAGGATGGGACTGGAGACAAAAAAGACAGTTAATAGATTGTTAGAAGAATCTACAAAGGAGATAAGAGCAGTGACCATAAGATAAGAGACTGACTGAGAGATACTGCCCAGGTAAAATTAAAACTGTGATGATCAATTGATTCCTTGTTCTCTCTTTCCAAAGTCCTACTTCACATTCAAGGATTAATTCCTGGATGTTAGCCTGGAATAGACCCATGACAGAGTAATTAATTAAGAGAGGGACACAGAGTAGAGAAGCAGTACCTCTATATATTAGGCAATATTTTTTATGAGAAAGATTAACTAATGCCAGTTAACATATTCAGTGGGTGGTGTTAGTAAAAAAATCAATATCCATGAGATAGATGTCTTGTAAATATTTGGAAACACAGGTCGTGATTTTGAGAGCAATGTCACTTAGAGATGTAGACTTGGCATCCATCTGAATAAAAATGACACTAGCAGAGGTGAGAAGGAAAATTTCTTATTACAGTCAAAAAATGGGAAAGAAAGCTGAAGCTAAAACTACGTCAGGAACCTCTACTTTGCAAAAGATGAAGATTACTGCCTGACAGAAAAAAAAACCTCAATAAATAGTCTCAGACTGAAATAATCAATGACTTATCAAAATAAACTAAAAATGAGAGCTAAGGAGAGAATATTAGTCAAGAGTGTGCTATCAAGATGGTAGAGGCAGTCAGCATTGCTTAATTCTTAATGCTGCAAAGAAGGTGAGCAGCCAGCGTGATGACTGAGGTCCTCTTTAAAGACTGATGTCTTCGGTTATGGATATTAAGAAGTTGTGAGCAGTTTTAGCCAAATTATTGGGCCTGAAGCTGGTTGGCTATCTTTGGAGACATAAATCCCAGGTTGTGTAGAAAAAAGTTTGGAGTTGAAGGAAAGGTATGTAGAGAAATGTGAGAGTGGTGTTTTCTTAGCAAGAATATACCTATTTCTCTCCTACCCACTTACAGATAGCTAAGCATATTTTACAGTGAATACAGCTAGAAACTTCTAACATTTGTAATTGAAAAAAACATGTCCATTTTTAAAACTTCTTCCTGCAATTTGGGCTGTGTATCTCCTGCTCTGGACCTCTACGTGAAATCACACTTTGGAGCATATAAAGACTATGCAGCTAGTCCACTGCTTCCCAGAGCTGGCTAGGAATTGGGACAAGTTCAAAAGTTGGCCCCATCTCAAAGAATAGCTTGCATATCTACGTGGTATCTGAAGAAATCATGTCTCAAAACCTTCCCAGGTGAATTCAAAATGTATTTTGAGAAACACTGGACTCTATCCCATTGTTTTCATTTTGAAGATCAGGCTAAGCTAAATGACTTACCCAAAGTCCGAGAGCTCCTGAAAGGAAGGGCTTGAGCTAAAATTCAGCTCTCTTGACTTGGCCTCCAAAGCTCCTCATTAGATAGCCTGATCTTTCCTGCAGTGTCCACACTGGGGATGTGCTCTGTTCTAATCCACTGGTGTGTGTCATCAGGATCTGCACATTGCCTTCGTGGCCACTAAAGACAATCTGTAAGTACACGCTCAGAGACGTCTTATATGTATCATGCACCAGGATCAGGATGTACGACTATCCATGGCATCTTTGGCACATCAGTCTCATCCTCAGAGCCATTTTGGTGTGTTTTTAAAGTGTCTTTTTTCTTTCTTTTCTGGATAAAATTTTCTCTTTGGGAACAAGGTATCACATGGAGAAAGGATGTGTATAAGCTCCAGGACTTTGTTGCTGATAGAAAACCTCAGAGATGAACTTTTTCTCAAGGTCAACTTGCTCAACATTACTGTCTGTCTCACCCTCTAGGAGAATATGTTGTTATGACCACTCATTTCCACCTGAAAAGAAAGATTGGCTATTTTGTCATTCAAACATATCTGCCATGCATAATGACCGTCATTCTGTCCCAAGTCTCCTTCTGGCTCAACAGAGAGTCTGTACCAGCGAGGACAGTCTTTGGTAAGTGCCAATCGAGATATGCATGCAGAGCTTTGGAGGGCAAGTTATGCCAGTGACACTGCAAATAGAATGAAAAATGATTATACATTAAAGTATGAAGTTAGTACAAAAGAAAGATGCAAGGAATTCCCATTTTCATCATGGCATGATTTTTAAAAATTATCTCCCTAAGTAGCAAGCTGCTTCAGTGCATGTAAATCGATGGGATTAATGAAGATTTGATTTGATATTTTGGGACAGAAATGGAATGAAGCAGGCATAAAATGCATCATATTAGATTAAAACACACACACATAGAACTGTTAATGTTTAATCCACACTTTCAGAATACATAATCATATATCTGTGTAGTTTTTGAGAATCTAAGAAAATATCAGCAGAGCTACTTCCTTACATGTATGAAAGCAGGGCTTTCTTACGTAGGGAGAGATCGTTAATGACCATCTCTCAGGACAGTACAGGAATACTTCACTTACTTAATGTGTGCACTTCTGAAGAGATACAAATATACATTTTTTTCTGTTAAAATGGTTCAAATGCCCTTGATGCTTCAAGTTAAGGCAATCTAATGGGACGCTGCTTAAAGGGTAATAACCTTTTACTAATAGGAAAAGCCACCCCCTAATTTATTAATTTAGAAATTTGTACTTCATATAAAGAGGTATTTCCTGCCCATATTGTAGTATACGATCTTAATTGTACTTTTCAGACTGATATAAACAGAAGACTCCATTGCCATAAATTAACTGATTCATTCCTTCACTCAGTGAACTTTTATGTGACGCCTACTATGAGCGAGGCACACAATGCAGCAGTGACCTTGACATAAACTGCCCCGCTCATGAAGGTTATAATCTGGAACTTAAAATTTGAGTAACGATAAAATAATACATGTTTATTTACCGAGTGCCTTTATATCAGGCTGTTCTATGAAATAAACCTACACTATCTCATTTAACACTAAAAAGAAAGCCTCTGTACTATTACTGTCCTTGTGTTATAGACAAGAAAGCGAAGGACAAGAGATGAAGGAACCGGCTCAAGGTCAGAAGCCACTAGGAGGGGCGTGGAGTGAGACCCAAGCCCTTCGGCCCGGAGGCTGTGCCCTTCATGACACGCTGGCGCAGCGGGGCAGTGGTGGGCCGCACCATTCACTTGTAAATAACAGCCATGTACTCACGGGTGAAAGGTGCAGTCGCCGAGGTTCATTCCAGAACTATCAGCTGGCGCGAGGCTACTTAAGACCCTTTACCACACAATAAAAGCGTTAGGAAGCGCAAAATCTAAACTGAGGATGATTCATGGGGGAAGATCCCTATGGCGTCTTTCTTCCATGACAGACAGGGTATGAAAAACCAGCCCTCTCAGGAAAAAAGCCAGAGTGCTCCAAGAGCCAGGGAAGCTTGCTTCCTTCTGGAGGCAGCACGGCCCTTCCCGCTGGGAACCACCGGCCCCTGCTCCGGCCCGACCTCAGCCCAACCGCGTCAAGGCCCGGGAGGACGGGCTACGGGGCAGGAGGGCAGGTCCCCTCCTGCGTCTTCTCCCTCATCGCCACTTGTCGATGGGAGCCGCCGCTGACGCCACCTTCCAGAAGGGAAGGTCAAACTCTTGCCAAGATGCCCGCTTCTGGGTGCGTGTGTAGTTGCAGCTCTTTTTCCAGTAGAATTTTTTTAAAAATTCGGACACAGAAGATATTTACATTATGTTTTATGACTCAGCACGACAATGAAAAAAAATTTTTTCTTTAATGTTCACTTTCCCTACTCTCACCCAACATATCCGATCCTTCCGTTTTGGAAACTTTCTAAAGCATTTTGGACTGTTTCATAAATGAAAAAACCTTGCTTTTAACACTTTCAACAGTCAGGCAACACGTGCCCCCTTGGTGAACATAACTCCCTATCTGTAAATTTAGCTGTGGCAAGTATATCTGTCCATCAAGTTATATATTTCTAATGTTCTAAGCTCAATAAAATCACAAACACAAATTCCTAAGACCTTTAGCCTTTTAACATTTCTCTAGTACACATCTCGATTCTTTTTTGTCTGAACTCAGCACATTCTTCTGAGCTGCTTAAGATGCCTGAGAGGGTCAGGTATTTAAAGACAAACATAAATTAAAAAAAATAAAAAGTCGTACTTCATAGCAGTTTGCTGAAAGGGATCCAGACTACAACAAAGCTGAAGCGTGGCTTATGTCTTAAAATATCATATTCTTGACCATCCATGCTCACATTTAGAGGCAATGTGGTCGTGGAATTTTGCTGCCAGGCAGATCCAAGTTTTAGGTTCAATCTTCATTGTTCTAACCTTCAGTTGCCTATAAAATGTGAGTTCAACTAAAGTAAAATCATGCTGTTTAAAAGACTAAGTGATAAAAATAAAATATGTAAATTATCAAGGTTAGTACTTGGAACTTAATAGATACTCAATACATTGTTGTTCCTTTCCCTATATCAGGAATTGTAAGACCACAGCGAGCACGCACACACAGCTCTTCATGCTATTCCTAACTGCTTTTAATTTATGCATGCATTTAAGAATAGCTATTCCCAAATTACTTCTGACAGCGACTTACATTAACCAGAATTCAAAAAAATAAAAAACGCAATTCACTGTAGCAGGAATTTACCCAAAAGGACTGTAGCTGTCAATAATAGTAGTCATTAATTTTGCCCTTAGTAAATATCAGGCTAAGTGCTGAACACTTTACTACTGCACTATATTTAATACAACACCCCCTCTGAGTTAGACTTATTGAAATTAACTTGAAGTTGTTTTTTTTTTAAATAAAGGAGAAGCTCAGAATTGTGAGGCAATTTTCCCGAGGTCACTTACCAGTTATAGAACTGTGGTTTAAAACTGGGTTGCTCTGCATCCCAAATACTGGCATTTAGTTACCTTGCTCTTTGCTCAAGTTAATACTGATATGTACATTTGGGGGCTGTTTTCCAGCCAATATTCTTTAAACTATTTGTTGTTCAGGTGATACAGATAATGCCCCAGAACTTCCTGTAACACCTTCAAAGTTCAAAGTAATACCTATGATTTAATAAAAATCTCGGGGTTTCTAATATAGTTACAAAGATCATCTACCTTGGAAAACTAGGGGATACTGGATGGTTTAATGCAGTTTATAAAAATTAGCCACCTACCATCTCTCTGTAATCCTACTGATTCTCTAAAAAATCATCAAAGGGGGAAATCACAGATATTAATTTTAGACCCATGGGAAGACAGTATCTTCCATGGCAATAAGTTATTTACATCCTTAAAATGCTTTTACATATTATTATGTTTTATCCTCAAATAATCTTGTGAATGACTGTGCAGAAATTTTCCTCTCTTAGAACTTCAGCAGTGATCTAGACAGTCAAGAGAATGAAGTCTAAATCACGCTTTTACAGGTATGAACACTAGGAGGTCCCTAGAGGTTAATTCGCTTACTCAGGTCATAGAGCTAATAAGTGTTGAGTAGTCACTGGCCTAGGTCAGGACTTTTTCCATCACGCAGCCTGAGTCAGCCTTACTGGATTACTGTGAAATTTTAAATACATTTTCAAATGGTTTCTAAGGAACCTTACCACAGCCTAACTATACAGTGCAGAACATTTATTAGGCTGATAATATTCATTTGTTAAGTGAACACTCATGGATATTAGTTAAATACCAACTCATATAATTATATAAATAAACTAAAAACAACTGACTCAAAAATGGCTTTGAATACAGGGAATGTAATCACTGGGGATGGAGTCACAGCACAGGAAGGTGAGGCAGATTAACAGAGAAGGAGAGACTGTGGACATTCAAAATGGCAAAATGTGTTCAAGTTTTGGTTTTGCCCCTTTTGAGCTGTGTAACCTCAAGTAAGTTACATGCAACTTATTTCAGGAATTTCTTCAGAAGAGTGGCTACTTCAGAATCAGGAAAAAAATATAAAAGCAGAAGAGTTAATAATGTAACAAAGTATTATCCTAAGATAATTCAATTATTCATCAATCATTACTAAACTATTAGCTTCGTGGTTTACACAGGTGGGGCGCACAGGTGGAAAATACCAAACAGAGCGGAGGATCCAGGGGTTTCTTGGGGATCAGAGACAGTGAAGATCTATGCTTTATAGTTCAAAGAATTGGGGACAGTGAGGGAAAATTATTTCCTTTTCTAACCAGGATACCATGTTCAAGATGCTCATTTAAAGATATTCACTATTTTATTAACAGCTCAATAGCAAAGCAGTTTATCCCTGCAAGAGATCCCCTCAGCACGGCCGTGCCACCAACTGCACACTCCTCTGGGGTTGAATGAAAACTCATCCATTCCAGACCCAAGTGGGACGAAACTTCTCTCCCACCGGGGTACCGCTGGTCTCCCTTTGGACAAGGAGGCTGACCTCCAGCGATGAAATTCTGTAGTAGGGATCTTCAGATTCACTTAACTTCTCTCTTTGCAGGAGTCACGACTGTGCTCACCATGACGACGCTGAGCATCAGCGCCAGAAACTCGCTGCCCAAGGTGGCGTACGCCACTGCGATGGACTGGTTCATCGCCGTGTGCTACGCCTTCGTGTTCTCAGCCCTCATCGAGTTTGCCACCGTGAACTACTTCACCAAGCGGGGCTACGCCTGGGATGGCAAAAGTGTGGTCCCAGAAAAGGTAAATGCTGTAATACCCCCTGGGGATACAGCACTAATATGTCCTTTTAAACATGTTAGATGGGGTGTCTGGACTTGAAGGAATGGACGAAGAATGCAGAGGGAGGGCAACGAGGATTCTAATGCTTATGTCAGAGATGATTAAGTGCTCGGGTAATTTTGTTATTGTTAAGGAGAGGTTGTTTGTGTGGACAGGTGCAGAACAGACGCAGGAGATGAGAGAGAGACACAAAAATGAATATTGCTACTCAAGTATGCTTTTCTATTTATCTGAGAAGAGTTTTAACAAGCCTGACATTAGGAGCGAATACATTCACATACACCATTATAATTTTTATAACTTGAAAATCATAGGCTTTTTTACTTTTTAAACCTAATCCCTTTGGTCATAAACATCACTACTCTAATGTCTCAATTGAACTGTGTTTGCAAAATGCATTACCTCCAATTATCAGCGAAGCAAAGGGCAGGAAACATTTTCTCTTTCCAAAAATAGAAGTTTGCTTTAAGGATCACAGCACACAGAAATCACAGAAAATTGTAGAAAATTATCAAGTCAGGAATATCACTGTTCTCAACTAGAACCTATTTTAGAGTGGCCCTGAGAGCACAGTTGGAGAGTATATTTCTACTTCTGAGGTTTGGAGGAAAAACGTGAAAACGTAAGCAAGCCTTGGGATGGCAGGATGAAGGGCAAAGTCAGAGACACAGAGGCTGTGAGACATCTAGAAGTCATCTAGGCAGGATCACTCTACAGCCGCTTTCCCCAAACTCCGCTCCATAGAATGCTAGTGTCTTGTGATAGTACCTGGAAATAAAAAGTTCTGTAGTCGAATACATTTGAAAGGAAATATGCTGCCAACGTCAAGCTCTTTTAGATGTACCCCTCAGCCACAGATGAATCAGCTCGGCACGCCAGTGAGCTACATAAGTAAAAGCCAAAAGGTTCTGTATGGGATGCACTGTCACAGCCAAAGTGAACCAGAAGCAGGGCCTCAGAATTCACCTTGCCTCGAAACATTCTTGCCCAGTATAAAAATTCTCTGAATTTTCAAACCAAGAACTGTGGCTGAGGTTCAGTAGAGAGGAGAGACAAGATAAAGGGACTGCATTGACCAGCTGGAGAGAGAGGCGAGAGGGTGGAGACAGTTGCTGTAAATCCTTGCTTTAGTCATCCATGGCCTCCCTCTGTCCTAGACCAGGAGGGTGGCCTAAAGGAGAGGGAGCCAGCCCCAGAAACAGGTTAACATAAGGCACCATGAACTGTAACACATGGACCAGAGACAGAGCTGTGAAAACTTTTTACATGTACATCTTAGAATGACTGACAGATTCTGCTGAAGTTCTTCAGAATGAATGACACGCAAACACTGGGGACACATGATGAAAAGTGAGGCGCGAGCACCGGGAAATGTTGCTTTTCTAACTTACTACTTTCTTTGCATTTTGTGAGAGGCCAACGTCTTTCTGATTCTGGCTCATGAGTGTCAGTTGTTAGTGACTAGTGGTGAGAACTGAATTTGTCTGGAAACCATGGAATTTGGGTTGAGGCATCGGTGAGCTCATGGTGCTGATTACATGTATCCCTTTCCGACCCCTGTATTAGTCCTTCAGGTGCTGTGTCTCAGAAAGTATTTTAATCCCTATCAATCTTTAGTCCTCGCAATTCAGTATAGATGTATATGAACATATATGTCTACTTCTATGTATGGTTATATTTATATCTGCAATACAACTATATCTGTAATACATCTATAGATCAGTCATCCTAATGAAACAGACACTATTTTCTGTAAGTTCTTTATGCTTCTGTAAAAATCTTCCGGAGGGCTCTGCCAGTTTGAATTGCTTATTATAGAGTATAGGTGTACAATGCAGTTGACTTGATACAGTTATGTATTGTGATCTGATCACCACCACAGCATTAGCTACCTCATCCCGTCACATAGTTACCATTTCTTTTGGTAACATTTCACATTTTGGAAAACATTTCACATCTACTCTGGTAGCAACATTCAAGTCCGTGATACAGTATTATTAACTATAATCACCATGCTGCNTGTGGTGAAAACATTTCACATCTACTCTGGTAGCAACATTCAAGTCCGTGATACAGTATTATTAACTATAATCACCATGCTGCACATTAGATCTCCCAGACTGTTAATCTGGTAACTGGATATCGCTGTCTGCATTTTAAATCTATCCCAACAATACAGTCATAAATTACATTTCTTAGATTTTAAATAAAGCACAGACCTAGGTTCCAAAGGGAAGGTCACTTCTACCCGGCTTCTCTCGCAGTTTACTAAACGAAATGCTGTTGCTCTTCTTTCCACAGCCAAAGAAAGTGAAGGACCCTCTTATTAAGAAAAACAACACTTATGCTCCGACAGCAACCAGTTACACCCCTAACATGGCCAGGGGTGACCCGGGCTTAGCCACCATTGCTAAAAGTGCAACCATAGAACCAAAAGAAGTCAAGCCGGAGGCAAAACCTCCGGAACCCAAGAAAACCTTTAACAGCGTCAGCAAAATTGACCGGCTGTCAAGAATAGCGTTCCCGCTGCTGTTCGGGATCTTTAACTTGGTCTACTGGGCCACGTACCTAAACAGAGAGCCTCAGCTCAAAGCCCCCACCCCCCACCAGTAGGTCCCTTCACTCGCCTTCCTTCCGCTGCTCGGTCCCCTGCCATGGAAATTGCTTTCCGTTCCCAGTGCAGTAATTGCCGCCCGCTTTATTGCCTCTGTCCTAAAGAATCGAAGGTTCCCTTATTTCCATAACCCACATGAGGACAAACCGTCCAGCAGAGCAGAGCAGAGCAGAGCTGAGAGAGGATTCTGAGAGACAGAGCCCGAGGGAGCAAAAAAGCCCAACAGGAGGCAGAACGAGAGAGGCAAGGAGGGGCGCAGTCGCAGACAGGTAGGAGGAAAAGCGGGAGAGAAATAAAGCTTGACCGTGACTCCAGATCATTTGTAGATATATATTTCCAAATATTCTAAAGGAGAGAAGATACTGTATATGTCACAAATATTTTTATGTGAAGGCATTTAAAAGAATATATTATAAATGTTTGATGAAGAAAATTTTCAAAGAATCTATGTCTTTACTGCACAAACTATGGTGCGCTCACATTTTTGTTTTGTGTTTTAAACTAATGTATCACTCTAACATTTTTGTTTCCAAAGCCCAAGACCCCTGTTCTTTCTCCTGTTACAAATGCCTAACGTGTTATTTTGTTGCTAAACGCTGTTTTAAAATTCATGGACGTTGCATAGTAAAGGAGCAGTTCCTCCCTGTAGAGCACATTTAATCCGACGGAGAGAAATGCTCTAACTAGACTATTTCACTAGCATCTGCTTTTATCACTAGACTTGATGAGGAATCATTTTAGCAAAGATATCAACACTCAATAAATACCAAAATATTTGAAAATTAAATAAAATAATTTAAAAAGATTCCCTTTCTCATCATGTCTATTTCCAAATAGCACATGGGTCCAATAATCACTTCATTCCCATCATAAAGATGCTTCAGAGGGGCAAAAATATTTTGCAAGCTCTAAGAATTGCTGAATGTATTCTTTTATATAACAGGACATTAAAAGCTTTAGATTGAAATTTATGACTAGTGAACAAAAATAGAATATATAAATTATATATGTAAATATACAGCATGAGATTGTACATTTTTTACTTTTTTAAGGTTGTGTTCTCAAAATACTGTGTAAGACTCACCGCTCTTAGCTGTTAGAATGTTGTTAAGTGCTACGGAAATACCTTTAGAGCCTGCATTTAAGATCAGAACAGCTTGTAGGAATCAGATGGAACTTCAACTATATGGGCAAAAGTTCACTTATGTAGAGAAAGCTTATAATTTCAAACGCTGTCCAGTGTACAGCAGTAAATCAGTTGCTACCTGCTCAAGTCCTGCCACCTTTCCCTAACTGAGGCTCTTGCAATATAGAAAGAAAATGGAAAAGCATTAGTGAGAGCTAGAAAAATCAACTGTATATTATCGCTATCTTTGCCAATATCAATTATTTCAATAAGTGTTGTACCATATGTAGCACCAAATATAAAAATACATGAAAGAATGTACAGGAAATAGCTTTTATTGAGTAATATTATTACATTTCATTTATACCGTAGCAATATATTTGTAGGTATACTATGTAAGGGCTTTAACTACAAGAGGTCCATTAATACTCCCTATGAAAGTGCTAGTCTGTTTCATTACTACCCAGATGTTTTAGAGATAAATATTTATGCAGAAGGTATTTTTGAAGTCTCCTTTTGTCTGATAGAGTTTCAGAGATATTTACAGTTAGCATCCAGAATCCACAGGTCATGGTCCAAGCCACACATGTAGAAATACCACGACATAAACCTGTCAGTATAATCACCAAAAAAGACAGTTGGGGTCCACGTCCAGGTTTGAAGCAATGTTTTTCTCAAAGAGCTGCCGTCCAATGATGTGGGAAAACACACCACGTTTTCCTAAGCAGACCCTGGTTTTCTTTTTAAATGTGCTGTATTGTTTGATTTGGTCCTGCCTAAATTCCATGAGCTAGGCCAGTGAAGGCTGAACCAAGGATGTTCATCCTCTGGTATCTTGTGTAGATATCATGTATAGAAAATAAAAATAAAACATGGCTCTAACTCCCGTGTTGCTGTTTATCCTGTTATTTTTCGGCGTTAACCTAATGTGTTTATTGAGAGCCTTTACCTTCCAGACTTGTCATGACTAACATTTGGTCTGTACTTTGCTCATTAGACGTGAATATTTCTTATGAGTCTGCTTTCTGCTATGCAATGACTGCATTTCGATCATTTCTTAGTTTGTTAGTATATGTGGATAGTGCTCTATTGTATTAATTGATTGCATAATTTATCAAAGACAAAATTATTCTATATAGCTTTTCTACAGTGCTTTGCTAAACCGTGTAACACTAGTTAAGTCTTCCTTGAAAATAAAGTCACACTCTTATAGAGGCCAGTTCCTGCTTACCCCCCAGGAATATTTTTTAAAAGGTGACACTGAATGTTGATTGCACATTAGTGCAGTGAAATGGCAATAAACCTGGCGTAGATCGAGGTGGTTTATGGCAGATGCATGTGTTGCTTTACAGAGTTTAGCAAAAGCTCTTAATTTAATGTCAGACTGTATTCTATTATAATAATAAAGCTAACGTTATTCAATAACAAGACAGAATGCCTGGCTCTCTTTTCACGTTATCAATAGGACATGCCATTTCCCCGTCTTAAAAACATTTTCAGGTAGGAGCACCTAAAATGCCAAGTGCCAGCAGGAATCTAGGCTACAGGGAACATTTTGAAGATGTATCAGTAGTATGATTCTAAACTATCATTTTATTTTATTTTAATTTATCTTTATTGTTGAAAGTGTAGCAGGATAGTAAAAAAGTAGGAAAATCCATAGGAAAGTGAAATGGGGAAACTGAGACAAGAAAACTAAACAAGGCCAAACAGTTTGGGCAGCTGGCAGCCAGCGTGTGAAATGCAAGACTGTATCTTCCCCAAGGACACTTGAGAGCACAGGGTTTATAAGCTCCTCCCTCAGGAGAGAATACATAGCTCAAATCCCCCTGGCCCAGGAAATAGAGATCAAAGACCCAATTAATGCCATTTGTGCCAGCTCAACCCAAGGACAGACCAAGTTGGGAAGCAAATAACAAAAACCCCATTAAAGCCAGACAGACCTAAGACAAAAGTAAAACAGTAAAACAGACCAAAGAATTATCCAAGACTCCCCCATAAACTCATTTTAACGCCTCAGCATATTTTTAAATGCACCTGGAAAGCTGAGGAATATTCTACTGAAACCCTCCCCTCAGGCTCTTGCCTGCAGAGAAAAAAGTGGAGAATAAGCCCTCAGGACAAAGGCTCAATGTGGGCTCGCACTGGAGCACACCCACGCCCCATCCTGGGCATCAACTTTTGATTTCTTCCTAATTTCCAAGGGTCCCCATGGGACTTGCAGCCCGGGGAGCGGTGGCAGCGGCAGCTCGACCCGGGCTCCCCCCCCCCCC